ATGCTTTGACTGACTATGTTCAAATTTCATATATTCATTATACATATATTCATAATGGCTGATTTTGTTTTAATTAATGCTGTTCCAGAGCAATATTCTCAATACTCATTTGACGATCAGATACAAATGTCAATCATTTAAATGTTAAACAATCATCATATTCCTGACATGTTTATATTCCAGCTATATTACTATAAACAAAACTTTATATCTTAAATTTGATAACTAACGGGGACTGTGCCATGCATGGCTTGTGGTGAATACTTTTGTCATTTTTGGTAAAAAGTGATATTTTAGACTTCTTGTTAAAAACCGCTGGTCCAATTGCTTTGATAATAAAAGAGCATTTCTCGTCGCCGACAAATTGTTTATCAATGGTAATATTTATAACAAAGTACAAAATGCAAGGAATAAAGAAACTGAGAAAAACGATGACTAGAACGTAAGGGGGACTCATACGTACGTACGCAATGATTTTGAATTACGAATCGGTTATTGGAATGTACATGGGCTGGGTGATAAAACTCAGGATGACGAGTTTTTAAGTTGTACAGCTGCATATGATTGTTTATGTTTAAGTGAAACTTGGCTACCTAGAGAAAAGCAGGTCGATATAAATAGGTACGTGACCTACACTTTTCATAGGAGTAGGAAACACAAAAGGGCTAGGAGTTTAGAGTTTGCAAATCTAATGGAATTAGTGGAAAGTAACGATGATTTAATTTGGTTTAGAATTTCGGCACAAAAAAGCAGGAGAACTAGAGATTTGTTTATTTGCTTCACCTACATTGTACCTGAAAACTCAACAGGTAACGTACTTAGGAATGACAACATTACACCATTTGGCTCAATTGAACAACAACTATGTAAATACAATGATCAGGGTGACGTAATCATTTGTGGGGACATGAATGCCAGGACTGGAAACATGTGTGATTATGTTAAATTAGATGGAACAAATCATTTACCATTGCCGGACGATTACGTCACTGATGACCCAATTGAATTGCGTCAAAATAGTGACAAAGTATAATGACACTATAAATATGGTGAATTATTGGTAAATATGTGTATTAGTACTAGAATGAGAATTTTGAATGGAAGATTTGGTACAGACATACCGGGGAAATACACATGTTTCCAAATACGTAATGGCATAGCATTAGGTGTCAGTACAGTTGATTACGTGATGGTTTCTGATTCCATGTTAACAGGTGATTTTTTGAAGGACTTTAGGGTCGGTGATATCACACGGCATTCTGACCATTCACCTTTAATATTAACGGTGGTATTTTGTGAATTTTCGGAACAGGAAATCGGAAATAAGTATCAGGATAGAAACGTGTTCAATGCTGAAAGCCATACGGCGATAATGTATGACTTGAGGGGTGAAAGTCGGGCAGATTTTATCGAAACATATAATACACAATAACGGCTGAGATTAACGAATTAAAAAAAAAATAATTATAATATTGACAAAAATGGGGTTGAATTGGCACTGTGTGATATCGAGAATATCTTACACAAAGTTTCGAAAACTGCAATGATAGAGAAAAAACGTTTTAGAAAAAGGCGTGGGGGAAAAATAAATATAAAGAAACCTTGGTTTGACATTGAGTGCAAGGAAATGAGAAGCGAGGTCAACGAACTTTATAAACAAATAAATAGGGATCCGACAAATTGAACGGTATACTGTACTTTGGCGAATACAAAACGTGTTTATAAGAAAATGCTGAAACGGAAGAAGCGGGAATACCGGAAAAAACAAATTATTGATTTGGAATCAAGTTGTTTTTCAGAAGATTATTCATTTTGGGGTAAATTTTGTAGGCTTACCCAGTCAGAAACTGGGACAAACCCAAATATTTCGAACACAGATTGGTTTAATTATTTTGAGCGCTTGAGTAAAGTGCCAGTGTCCGAGACAGTGGGCTTTGAAATCCCACTCATGATAATACACAAGATTATATTGATACTGTATAACTTGATATGGAGATTAGTACGGAGGAAGTGACAGCTGCAATAGATAAATTAAAAATGAAAAAACAATTCGGGTTTGATGGCTTTAGAAATGAGTTATTCAAAAATAGTAATCAAGATCTTATCAAGTGTTATACTAAAGGTCTTTAATTGATTTTGAATAGTGGGCATTTCCCAGAGACTTGGTCAAAGTCACTGATTTGTCCAATTTTAAAGAAAGGTAACATACACGACCCCACTAATTATCGTGGCATTTCCCTATTGAGTTGTTTCGGTAAGTTTGTTTTTACAATTA